TCTGAGGAGAGGGATAGCTGGGTCAAATGGTAGTTCCAGTCCCAATTTTCCAAGGAATCTCCATACTGCTTTCCATATTGGCTGCACCAATTTGCAGTCCCATCAGCAGTGTATGAGTGTACCTTTTTCCCCACATCCTCACCAACACTTATTGTTGTTTGTTAGCTGCCATTCTGACTGGAATGAGATGACATCTTAGAGTAGTTTTGATTTGCATTTCTCTGATTGCTAGAGATACTGAGCATTTTTTCATATATTTGTTGATTGATTGCATGTCCTCTTCTGAGAAGTGTCTATTCAGGTCCTTGGCCCATTTGTTAATTGGGTTATTTGTTTTTTTAGTGCTTAGCTTTTTGAATTCTTTATATACCTCAGAGATTAGTGCTCTATCTGATGTGTGAGGGGTAAAAATTTGCTCGCAGGATATAGGCTCTCTGTTCACCTCACAGATTGTTTCTTTTGCTGAGAAGAAACTTTTTATTTTGATTCCATCCCATTTATTGAGTCTTGGTTTTAATTCTTGCACTATAGGAGTCTTATTAAGGAAGTTGGGGCCTAGTCCCACATGATAAAGATTAGGACCTACTTTTTCTTCTATTAGATGAAGACTCTGGTTTAATTCCTAGTTCATTGATCCATTTCAAGTTAAGTTTTGTGCATGGTGAGAGATAGGGGTTTAATTTCATTTTGTTGCATATGGATTTCCAGTTTTCCCAGCACCATTTGTTGAAGATGCTATCTTTTCTCCAGTGCATGTTTTTGGCACCTTTGTCTAATATAAGATAATTATAATTTTGTGGGTTAGTCTCTGTGTCCTCTATTCTGTACCATTGGTCTATCAGTCTTTTTTGGTGCCAATATCATGCTGTTTTTGTTACTATTGCTCATTACAATTCTTATGAAAAATTGTGCTCTATATGTATAATATTTCTGGTTGTATACAAAGTATATTCACACCAATTTTTGTCTTCATACATGTACTTTGGATAATAATGTCCATCACATTCCCCCACCATTTCTAACCCTATGCCCCCTCCCTTCCCTTCCTACCCCTCTGCCCTATCTAGAGTTTGTCTATACCTCCCATGCTCCCCCTCCATAGACCTCTATGAATCGGCCTCCGTATGAGAAAACATTTGGCATTTGTTTTTTTGGTATTGGCTAACTTCACTTAACATTATCTTCTCTTACTCCATCCATTTACTTGCAAATGCCATGATTTTATTTTCTTTTATTGCTGAGTAATATTCCATTGTGTATATATGCCACATTGTTTTTATCCATTCATCCATTGAAAGGCATGTAGGTTGGTCCCACAGTTTAGCTATTGTGAATTGTGCTGCTATAAACATTAATGTGGCTGTGTCCCTGTAGTATGCTGTTTTTAAGTCCTTTGGGTATAGTCTGAGGAGAGGGATAGCTGGGTCAAATGGTAGTTCCAGTCCCAATTTTCTAAAGAATCTCCATACTACTTTCCATATTGGCTGCACCAATTTGCAGTCCCACTAGCAGTGTATGAGTGTAGCTTTTTCCTTATATCCTCGCCAACACTTATTGTTGTCTTCATAATAGCTACCATTCTGACTGGAATGAGATGACATCTTAGAGTAGTTTTGATTTGCATTTCTCTGATTGCTAGAGATGCTGAGCATTTTTTCATATATTTGTTGATTGATTGTATATACTCTTTTGAGAAGTGTCTATTCAGGTCCTTGGCCCATTTATTGATTGGGTTATTTTTTTTTTTTTTTTTTTTTTGGTGTTTAGCTTTTTGAGTTCTTTATATACCCTGGGGATTAGTGCTCTATCTGATGTTTGGGGTGTAAAGATTTGCTCTCAAGATGCTCTCTGTTCACCTCACAGATTGTTTTGATTCTTGATTTTAATTCTTGCACAAAGGAGTCTTATATCTTAGCTATTTTGAATACTACCATAAGAAATATGGGCATGCAGGTATCTCTTTTGTATATTGATTTCGTTTCCTTTGGATTATATACTCAGAAGTGGGGCAACTGGATTATATGGTAGATATATTTTTAAGTTTTCTGAGAAAATTCCCTACTTTTCTCCATAATGGCTATTCTAATTTACATTCTCACCAGCAGTATAGGATAATTCCTTTTTCACCGAATCTCACCAGTATTTGTTATTTTTTGCTTTATTGATAATTACTACTGTAATTGGAATGAGATGGTATCTCCTTGTGGTCCTTGTAGTTGATGTGCATTTCCCTAGTGGCTAATGTATTTGTGGGCCATTTGTATGCCTTCTTTTCAGAAGTGCTTAAAATCATTTTTCCATCATTTAATTGGATTACTTGATTTTTGTTAAGCTCTGCAAAGGCTTTAATAAATCTTAATGATTCTAAAATAATTGATATAATCCAAAACATACATTTCAAATCAGAGGAGCATGTGTCAGGATCAGACTTGGAAATTCTTCAAGTCTCTATGGTGAAGAGATGGCAAATGAACGTTTTATAATTCGAACAATTTATAATGTTTGCTGAGTGGTATATGGATAATGTGCACTAGAAATTACAATAGGAATGAATATTTGGGGGCAATATAAAACTCAAATAAATTGACTTCAGATTTTTTGTCCTTTGTTGCTACAGTTGCATTGTTCTTTGTATAAAAATTTACACAAATGCAAGAAATGGCTTAGTAAATACTTAGTGAAAATAAATGCATTACCCTTCCTCAGAACTGATACCAGACACCAGTATATTACTGACCTCACATTTTACTTATTTATTTTTATGTGGTGCTGCGGATCGAACCCAGTGCCTCACATGTGCTAGGCAAGCGCTCTACCACTGAGCCACAAGCCCAGTCCCCTGTCCTCACATTATATAGTCACTGTGTTTTGAACAAATGATCAAGAGGCTCTGATCATCTCCAACTGTGAAAAAATGAGCATCTCTAAATCTGTGGGCATTTGTTCCAGGCAGATGACTCCACTGTCAGCTCTCCTGCTCACTCTTGTCCTTAGCACAATAAATAGAATTTTTTTTTCCTCCTATCCCCCAGTTTTCATGATGTTCCCAAATCTGGACCTGAGTCATCCTTTCTGTTTACTCTTTCCTCTTGACTATTTCATGGTAATTCCAAGGCTGCTTTTTTTTAGACATTTTTACTGTCAGTTAACTGCCATGATTCCCTATGTCATTTTTGACCCATTGACCCTAGCCAAGTCTCATTAATTCTTGGTCCTCCCTTTTCATAGAACAGTGTTGCCTGCATTGTCCCTTTGGGGGTGGCTGCATAAACATGTGAGAAAGCTAGTTTTCTCTTAACCTTTACTTTGGAGGCTTTCTCTTTAGGTGACAGTCGTCCTATGATGAATATGTTCCTATTGCTGATGAAAGCTGGCTTCTGGATGAGGAACATTTGTCTCTGTTTCAAGGTTTCACACCCTTTTGCAGTAGTCTTTTCCAACTGAATTAGCAATGTTCTTATCGTCAATGAAAACGATAAAGATTAATCATTGGTCCCTTCATGGTCCTCGGTCCATCATTCATCAACCGGGGTTCTGCATTGTGTAGCATCGTTGGGCCCGACCGTTTCCAAGGGACAGATCAATCATTACTGCGTGGTGAGAGCACACTCAGTGTTTGCCAACAGCATGATCTACTTAGCCATCTGCCCAGGGCCTAACTATAATCTGAACAGTTTCTTTAATAGGAACTTTCGGCATAATATAGAAAATACATACTTTAGTAAAGAATTAACAATACATACTCAATAGTGTTTAGCACCTACTAATCTAATCTGCAACTGAATTAGGCTGTGTTTTATCTGTACTTAGAACTCAAATACACTTGGCTTTAGACCAATTCTATTCATTGCTAATAAGAGTGAAAAGAGTTTGTACTAATGGAAGGCTATGCCTTGGTCTTATGTACACATGTTGCATTTACAGTGTTTTTCTTTCTTTTGCTTCACAGTAGTCCTGTGGGGTGTTGGTGTTATCATTGTGCCCATTTTGAAGATGGGAAAGTTAGAAAGATAGAACAAAGTGATGTGCTCAAGATCACTGTGCTCAAGTACCTGTGGCCAGTGTCATACCTGGGTACATTGAAAAAATAGCAGTGCACAAAGCATTTACAACTGACAGTGGATTAAGGCAGTCATTTCCCTCTCATCCAGTCCTGACCTCAATGCCCACCTTCCACTTTGAAATTCATAGGAATGTTTGTTTTTTTTTTATTCCTCCCAGTAGTCTTGCTGGATATCCTACTTCTCAGCTAAGGATACAAAGCCAGATAACTCCAAGGTACCTGCTCTTTCAATTTTATCTATTGCATTAGCCAGAGAACTCATGTGCTACTGTTTCTCAGGACTCAGAATTTCACAGAATGCAATACGTTCTGAGATCACTTTAGAGACCCTAATCCCAGTCATTCATGTACAATGAACATTGGCAATATCCAGCCCATGGGTGCAGCAAACTCGAGATGTTCCACGGGTTCTTTCCTACTCATAAAAGATTTCATCTTTGATTATTTTAATATTGTAATTTTTTTTTCTTTTTCAAAGTAGAACTGGTAATAAAAAGCTAAAGTGTCAACTAGACAAAATACTTCTGGGCTAGTCTTCAAAACCACCCAATAAGTTAAAGAAATAGTTAATGTATTAAACAATGAACAGGAAGTGGACATAAATTAACTAAGTCTACTTTTTTTTTAAACTTTACTGAGTAAGTAAAGTAAAAACCACACTATTACTGAGGCTGTGAGCACCCAGGAAAGAAAACAGCCTGATGGGATTCATTCCCCTTCACTCTAAGAGACCCCGTGACCCAGGAGAACTTAATTAAAGTATCTTGGGTTATTTTCACATGTGCCAATGTCCCCCTGGCTCTGTTGAGAGAAGTTCTGCCCCAGTGATGGGTCAAGGCATGAGCAGGCATAAATTAAATGGTAAGCCAGCAGTAGCACCAGGGTGGAATGGGCCCTTGGCCCAGGTATGCCTCTCACCCTTGAGAATCCCAAGGAGCATTCTGAGCCTCTCCTGCCTCTGACCCAGGAACTGAAGTCCAAGTGAGAGCAAGAAGAACATGAGAAGCCCATGGCCACTTCCAGTAGGCAGCCCAGGGGACATGTGCAGGAGAGGAGAGACATCCTTTTCAATGATAGCTTCTGAAAGTCAATGATGTCCCCTGAAAGGTGAGGTATGGTCACAAATGCCTTCTGGATTGCTGTTGTTTCAGTGACACTCCTGATTTTGTGATTTTGGGGCAAATCACTTTACCCCTCAATTTAACTCAACCTGGTGGAAACCCAGGAAGACTTCCTTTGCCCAAGGAAGATACCCTGAAGCCACCTTAGAAGAACCTCTTTGGAGACAACTCCTGAGGCTTATTTTTAAAATTTCTTTCTTTTCACTTATTTATACATTTAAATTAACTTTATTTCTATTTTATGTGTTTATATTTGTATTGACTCTATTTCACGAATAATGTTCACTATGGAAAATTAGGAAGCTCCAATTAACAAAGTACATGAATACTAACCTCAGGTGCCACTGTCTCGCGGATAACCTCTTCCAGCATACTGTTGAATGTCTTTTATATCTCTTCGTTTTTAAGTGGGCAGGAAAGACACATCCACAACACACACACATGCACCCCCACACCCCTCTTTGCACACAAATTGAATCACAACTTTCAGATCTTTGTTTCTTTAATATAGCTTAGAATGTCTCTCCATGTCATTCAGTATAGTTTTCTTCTAATTTTCATTCATATGAAATTAGAAGGAATGTTTGTGGACCTGACGCTTGGTTTAAGAGTACAAATGAAGGTTGATATAGCATATGTCTAAATATTTTAAAGTTATAAAGCTGCCTATATAATGTTAAATGATACATATATTTTCATCGAATCATGATAAATATGACTTTATTACAACTTAGAGAATCAGGCTCAAATTTAGACTCCTTGAGTCCCTTGAGTGTCATGCTAGAACATGGTGATACAAGGTGACCTGGCCTCAGTACGCCTCTTCCCATCTTTAGCACTTTCTGCTAAATAAGGGGCTTCTCATGCACAGGTGGGAAGTTTCCAGCCTATGTGCTCACATTCTGTCTATACCACCTGCCAGAAGCTACCTCTCAGACCTATAAATAGGTACACTGCCATTGCGGGTTGCCCTCAGGATATGGACCTGGGAGCTCAGAGCCACTTGCAGGTGCTATGCACCAGGAGTAAGAGCCAGAGGAAGGGCTGCAGGTTATAGCACCCCTTTGGTGTGAGACTCACTGACAAAAAGGGAAAACCTAGCTGGAGGGGGGCCTGGAAGGGACCTCTAGAGCAGGAGGCCCCAGGGAGTACTGGTGATCATCAGCATTCCTGTGCTGATTCGTTTATACTGACCTGGTTGTTTCCGCAGGTTAAAAGTTCACTGGCTCAATCAAAAGGTTTGACCACTTTAAGGCTTTGGAACCCTATTTGTGAATGGCTCTTCTAAATATTGGAGCAGGACTGGGATTGTGGCCCAGTGGTAGAGCACTTGCCTAGCACGTGTGAGACTCTAGTTTCAATTCTCAGCACCACATAAAAAAATAAAACAAAGATTAAAAAAATTAAATATTGGAGCTAATTTGTATCCCATCAACAGTACAAGGTCCATGCCTAATAGAAAATGCCATAAGCATGTCTGTGTGGAATAATCTAATTTTTCTTATTTATCTCCAATCTGGTGGATAAAAATGGCCTATTGCTGATTGAATTCACATCTCATTTAATATGAAAAGATCCCTTTGTCACATGAGTTTGGCTATTTGTACTGCATCTTCTATGATTTAACCACGTCCTTTAGCTTTCTATTAGGTGGGTTAATTTGTTCTCTATCAGTTCTTGGTCCGTTAATGTTTTAGTGCTTTGGTATATCCATAAAAACCTTTATTCTCAATTAGATTAAAAAATTATTGTTCCTTGTATGTTTTTATGGGTCCTTTAACTCTCAAGAAAAACGTTCCCAAAATGGACCATTTTGAGAAATCAATAGTACTAAACTCAATGATCTATACATACAGGTCAATTTGATTCAACAAATATTTGTTCATCACCTATATGTATTAGTTAGAAGGACAGACGGATCCCAACAATTGCATCTAAAATTACTGAGGTTCAATATTAAAATGGGATGAAATTAATGTTACAGGCACAGGAGGACACTTCATAATGCTCCACCTACTTAGAAACAGAATGTGTGTCTACATTTATGGAAATAGAAATCACAAAAAAATTATACTTCCTGTTTGGTATCCAAAGCCGTGTGTGCCAAGGACTGTATACATGCATGTTTATTTTAATTGGGAATAAAAATAGTTTCCCCCCTTATACTCATTTAAATTGTACTTCTATTGAAAACCCTTTTTTTAATTGAGACAAAATATTTGTACATCTTTATGGAATGCATTATGGTAATTCAGTACATGTATACAATATGTAATAAATCAGGGTAATAAATATTTCCATCTCTTCAATCATTAATCATTTTTATGTGTTGGGAGTTTTATACTCTTCTAGACATTAGAAATACATTACAGGTTGTTTTAACTGATGATCACCCCGCCGTGCTATAGAAAAAGTGAAATGAACCCCTCCTATTTTTGATGCCTCTCATGGAACTGCTTCCCACCTTCCTCCCTTTGCCTGCTAATCTCTAGTGATGACTATTACTTTACATTCTTCTATTAGATAGTTTTTTGGCTTCCACATATGAGCAAGAACATGTACTGTTTGTCTTTCTGAGTCTGGCTTATTTATTAATGTGGTAACCTCCAGTCCCATCCATGTTGGTAAAAATGACAAGATTTTACTCTTTTGTGGCTGAATAATACTCTGTATATATATATACCTTGTTTTCTTTAACCATTCATGCCCATCTTGATGGGCATCCAGGTTGGTCTTATATTTTAGCTATTGTGAATATGGTGCTACAAAAAATATACAGTGCAAGTATCTTTTTGGAATGATTTTTTCTCCTTTGTCTATATATACCCCATAGTAGAATTGCTAGGTCATATGGTAGTTCCATTTTTAAGTTTCTGAGAAATATCTGTACTGTTTTCCATAAGAGCTATACTAATTCATATTTTTAGCACAATATATAATGGTTCCCCTTTCTTCACCTCCTCATCAGCACTTGTTATTTTTTGTGGGATTTTTTTTTTTTTGTACCAGGGATTGAACTCAGGGCACTTAACCACTGAGCCACATCAGCAGCCCTTTTTTGTATTTTATTTATAAAAAGGGTCTCACTGAGTTGCTTAGCACCTTGCTAAATTGCTGAGGCTGGCTTTGAACTTGGAATCCTCTTGCCTCAACTTCCCTAGCCACTGGGATTATAGGCATGCACCACTGTGCTGGGTCCATATTTTGTCTTTGATGATATCCATTCTAACTGGGTTGAGATGCTATCTCACTGTAGGTTTGATTTTCATTTTCTCTGGTGATTAGTGAGATGGTTTTTTATTTGGGGGGTGGGTATGTACCAGGGATTGAACTCAGAGGTACTTAACCACTAAGCCACATCCCCAGCCCTATTTTGTATTTTATTTAGAGACAGGGTCTCACTGAGTTGCTTAGCAGCCTTGCTGTTGCTGAGGTTGACCTTGAACCTGCGATCCTCCTGCCTCATTCTCCTGAGCCTCTGGGATTGTAGGCATGTGTCACCACGCCCAGTTAGACTGCATTTTTTCATGTACTTGTTGCTTGTTGGCCATTTATTATTTCTCCCATTGAGACATGTCTACTTTCCTCTTTAGCCTATTTTTCAATTGGATTATTATCTTTTTCTTAAGTGTACAGCTTCTGCATTTACTTACATATATACATATGCTAAATATCAATCCCTGGTTAGATGAAGAGCTTGCGGGTATCTTCTCCAATTTGGTAGGTGGACTCTTTAACTCTGTTGATTATTTCCTATGCTGTTCAGAAGCTTCTTAACGTGATATAATCCTATTTGTTTATTGTTACTTTTGTGCCATGTGCCTTTGAGTTTTTGTCTCAAAAAAAAAAAAAAAAAATCAATACCTACACCAAAATTGTCAAGTGCATCTCCTATGTTTTCTTGTAGTGATTCATAGTTTCAGTTTTAATATTTAGGTCTTTTACCCATATTGAGTTGATTTTGTGTATGGCAAGAAGAGATCTGATTTCATTTTTCTGCTTTTGTGTATCCAATTTTGTAAGCACCATTTATTGAAGAGATTGTCTTTTCTCCACTGTATGTTCCTGGTACCTTTGTGAAAAATCAGCTGGAAGCCAGATGTGGTGGTACACACTTGTAATGCCAGCAACTCAGCAGGCTGAGGCAGGAGGGTCTCAGTTCAATGCTGGCCTCAGAAACTTATCAAGGCCCTAAGCAAGTCTGCTGATGATGCTTTCCATTAAATTTTTAAATTTGGTTCATTGATGCCTTCATTTTGAGGATTTCTGCTTGAGTCTCCCCTGCCCCAGAATCTTTCTCTTTCTGAAAGTGATCTTTCACTTCCTGTATTGTTTCTCTGATTTCATTCCTTACATCATCCTTTACCTACAGATTAGTTTAACTATGAACATTCTAAACTCCTTCTCTGACATTTCTTGCACTGGTGGTTTCAGTGGATTCTGTTATTGAAGCATCTTGGTTTATTTGGAGTGATTTGTTCCCTTGATTTTTCATATTGTTTGTGTGACTACCCATCTAACAGTTTGGATCTGAGGCAGTCGAGTTTCTACCCTGTAGACTTAGAGTGTCCCTGAAGATTTCCAGTATGTCACCAGTTAGGGGGAGACAAATAATAACAATAAGCAATTCAAACAATATGCAGCATTAAGCCAAATGTCTCCTACTATGGCATCTACATGTTAATTGTCACAATAAACAGAAATGATGTGATCAGTTATGGCCCACAGTAGTATCAGTAATCTTGCAAAAGGGCTTGTAATTTCAAATAGTGGGCAGGGAGAGAATAAAAATGATGTAGGACATGATGATTATGAGGGAGGAGGAGAGAAAAAATAGAAATAAAAAATTAAAACATGAAAGACAGCACAATAGATTGCCTGTTAGCAGAAGAGAAAAAAGGGAAACAGTTAAGTGTGAGAAAAATATATACAGAAAAAAAATTTTAAATTAAAAATAAAAGAATGCAAAACAAAATAGAAATATAC